CTTTTCCTTCGCACGGATTATTAAAAATTGATAAGGTCATAGCTCGACAAACTTCTATCTGCGAAGGAAAAAGCGGGGGTGATCAGGAGGTTTCTAAAGGTGATGAGCATTGTGAAGGCCAAAGCGGGATGGTCCACACCCAGGGATCTTGAAAAACATCTATTGATCCTGTAGGTCCACCAGTAGACGGTCATTGAAGGGAACCATCGCCGACATATTGCGCACCGCTTCAACCTCTTAGAGGAGGGAACCCGCTATACTTCAGGTCAAGCTGGTTTCCAAATCCAGAGAACAGCGCGCACGTCGCCTCAGCGAGCGAGCCGAAAAGGTCCGAACCCATACCGGCGACGTCACCGACGTTGTCACCGACATTGTCAGCAATGGTAGCGGGGTTACGCGGGTCATCCTCAGGGATGTTCTCCACGACCTTACCGGCCAGATCAGCACCGACATCAGCAGCCTTGGTGTAGATACCGCCACCCACACGGCCGAACATGGCAATGGACGAACCACCCAGACCGTAGCCCGAGATGGCCTCGAACAACTTCTTGTGGTCAGTCGACAGAGGGTACTGAGTCTCGAAAGCCTTGATCAGGATGAACAGCACCAGCAGAGCCATGGAGCTCAGTCCGAAGCCCATGACAGCACCGGCACGGAAGGCCGTGTTGAACGAGTCACGCCAGCCACGAGCACCCTCCTTCATGGCCGAGACCGTGGTACGAGCGTTCGAGTAGACAGCCACCATCATACCCATGTAACCCGCGCCATCGAGTGAGACCACGACGGGGCGAAAGGGCGTGGCGTTCAGCGTACGAAAAGCCGCAGTTCGAAACTGTCTGGGCGTTCTCTGTGTTGGAGCGAAAGCGAGCGTTGCAGTTACAGAGCAGCGAGCGGCACGCGAAGAGAGCAGATGAGATGGAAGAGGCAAAGCACAGGCGTGTACTTCTGGCCAGGCAGAGAGAGGCGCGGGCGCCTTCTGAATGGCGCAGAGAGATTCTGCGAAACAGAGCGTTGGGGCAGTTGGGGTGGCGCACTTCGGACGCCAGCAGCGAGTAGACATTCATCGCCACGACGAGTCACCTTGACCTTGGAAACCTCCCAGAACAGGTAGGCCGCGAAAAGGATGCCGAACACACCCGCGGTCACCACGTAGGCGTAGACTTCAAAAGCTTCCGCCATGATCTCACCAACAAAACAGGAAAAGGAGGCAAAATCCGAAATGTCTTGGAGAATCAACGGTGGCCGTTGGTCTTGCTAGCCAAAGATCCCAGCACTTGATCTCTCTATGCGGTATACATTCCCGCCGTGGTTGCTGTTCCCTTCCCACCTTGGCATCAAGCAAAGATTTGATGCCCATCAGTCGAAAATGGGTAGGCTTGGATACGTTCGAATGGGTCCTTAATTAATATATGAGGATTTGTAAAAAGCGACCTTGACGGCGGAAAATGCCCGCCTCATTGACGCTGCTGCCAACGTTCGGCAGCACGAGACGAGCATTGGTCAACAGCGCACATCTGATTACAGAGGAGACCCGTAGGAGTCCTACACTGTATTACGACGCCTACAACCAGCGACAATCAGATGCTGCATACAATGTACCTGCACACCGTGAGCCGATACCGCGCCGTTACCGTTGGACGGCGACAATGGGTCTCAGAACCGAGGCAGAGCTCAGTTCAGACAAGACACGTCCACGCGATAGAAAGCGACAAGGTTGTTTATCGCGTTTTTTTTTTTACAATAGTTATGATACGCACGGCTTATGCCACAATACGTGTTCGCCGTCCTGAGTGTGGACGCCGCCGATCCATACATTGCACTACTACAATGCAATTGCAATAAAGCTTGTATAGTATGAGCTGCAGGCTGCAGTCCAGCCGTGGAGGTAGGAAGCGACAACCACTGTCGCTGCGCGCTGAGAATGGGCTTCATTTTTCGAAAATGGTTCCTTTTGTCTGTCTTTGCGCGAGTCAGAATGATAAAACCTCATAAAACCTCAAGGTTAAATGATAAAACCTCATGGATATTGTATCTTTCTGTTTCTGGAATTCGTCGGGACCTTACATGACTCATGGATCATGGACCCCATTTTGCTCGCCGAGGTGTTGCTTCTCCCTGACGGCGTTAGTGACGCACTACGCACTATCGGTCATTTGTAGATTACTACCACACCGCCTTCAGTGGATAGTGATGTCTAGCGTTGGCCCAGGCTGTACTTCAGGCATTGCTGGCAGGCAGCAAAGATACGATGTCTGCTCCATTCGCAGCTGCGGCCCACGCAAGGTTTCTGGCCGATTGGAGCCGCAGAGACCGGGCAAATGGTGGGTGTGGACTTCGACTCAAAGGGGAAAATGATGGTATCCTAACTGCTTCACTTGCAAGTTGCAACCAATGGCTGATCGGCTCGAGCGTAGCGGCAAGCAATCGCTGCTGTGCACTGCCAGTGCTGGGTCAGCGCTTCTAATTTACGAGGCGAATCGCATCGGGGAGGACAAAACGAAAACGCAACAGATCTGAGATGCCGGTGCTGTTAATTTCTGAAGGTTAAAGGAAGCGGTCAATGGTATCGCCTTGAGCGTGGTCAGGTGTACCGATAATAACAGTGCAATAATATTTTCACAGCCCTCAGTAATAATTTTTTTCTTCTAAAAACAAAAGCGAAAATAAGTAATTGCAGCCAAAATATTTTTTTTGCTCCAAATAAAATAGGATTCAAGAAAAAAACACGGAAAAAAAAGAAAAAAATATCGGAAAGTACATGAAGAAATAATGTTTTGGGAGTGATATCTGGCTTCTCAAAAATAAAAATATATATTGTCAAAAAAAAATTTAAACGGTAAAACAATGATTATTCCGGAGCACCTGGTCACTGGGCATTAGTGGTAGTCAGAGCAAGAGCTGAAAAGACACACCGTCGAGATGCCGGTGCTGTTAATTTCTGAAGGTTAAAGGAAGCGGTCAATGGTATCGCCTTGAGCGTGGTCAGGTGTACCGATAATAACAGTGCAATAATATTTTCACAGCCCTCAGTAATAATTTTTTTCTTCTAAAAACAAAAGCGAAAATAAGTAATTGCAGCCAAAATATTTTTTTTGCTCCAAATAAAATAGGATTCAAGAAAAAAACACGGAAAAAAAAGAAAAAAATATCGGAAAGTACATGAAGAAATAATGTTTTGGGAGTGATATCTGGCTTCTCAAAAATAAAAATATATATTGTCAAAAAAAAATTTAAACGGTAAAACAATGATTATTCCGGAGCACCTGGTCACTGGGCATTAGTGGTAGTCAGAGCTGAATACAAGAGCTCTTTCCAAGAGCTGAAAAGACACACCGTCGACTCTCATTGGCCAAAACTCTCTTGGAATCCAAGAGATCTCACCCTAGCTTTTCTGTTTTAGGAGAAGTCTTGGATTCCAAGAGATATCGCCGGGAGAAGATCGGAGGGCACTATGGAGAACAGAGAGGGCAATACGACTAGCAGGGCACCTGCTGAGCAAGCGGTCGCCACTGACAAGCTCAAGACGAAGACCAAGCAGAAGGTGACTCGGCCTTCGAAGGCTAAGCAGCGAGAGGGTCAGGTGCCGGAGCAGGTCGATCAGTCGGGTCGGGGGATGACAAGGTCAGGAAAGAAGGCTCCCGTTTTCTGGGACTCCGATGGGGTGGATGGAGGAAAATCCTCCTTGCGAGTGGTGCTGGAATGGATGACTAACCCCGCCAACTATAACAAGTGGCGAGGTAGTGATCGAATGAGCGGCAAAACGAAGGAAGCGCTGCTAGCGGAGATCGTAGCTCAGCTGAAAGCAGTTGGTATTGAGCATCGAGACAGTCCTGGGGTCCGCGAGAATATTAACTCCCTGGAGAAACAGTGGCGGCAGGCAGAGGATTTTCGTCTAGCAACTGGTGCAGGTATTACGGACGGGAAGAGCCTTCGTGATGCTTTGTTGAAGCGCTGCCCACACTACGACGACTTGCATGATGTGATGATGGACAGGCCTTCAGCTCGTACCAAGGTTACATTCGATGATCAAGACGCAGCTAAAGGGGAGTTGCTCTCTACCTGCCTCTCTGTGCTTCAAAAAGGCGAAAAGAGGCCGCTCGCCATTGACGCAGATTCGAGTACCAAGAAACACAAGGTAGACTCTGTTGACAGACTGCTGGAACAGCAAGCGGATGTACTCCGTATTCGTGAAGAGAAACGGGAGAGGATGATGGATTATCGTGAACGCGAACACGCACTCAAGTCTAAAGAGCTGCTACTAAAGGAAGAAAAAATAATCGCGAAAAGGCCCAAGCTGACATCGACCTTCAAATCAAAATGGTGCAGCTTCAGACCGCACAGCGAGAAGCTGCGGTTCAACTTCTTCTTTCACGCAAGCAGCTGCAAGATAGCGGTGTTCCACAAGAAGAAATTGATCGACTATTACCTTTACAGAGCGAAAGTGAAGGA